ATACTGCCTGCAGGTTCCTGTCTCAGTCATGTGGTCTCTCCTGGCACTTCTTCTTCTTCAGCATGCTCTTTAATACTCCACTGACTCTCTCACAATGTCCATTACATTAGGGTTGTACAGGGTGGTAAAGAGTTGCCTAGTGATGATGAATCTGCACACCTCTTGCAACAGTTCTTAGGTATGCTGGGTCCCTCTGTCACTCAAGACTTTTTTGGGAAGCCTACTCTACAAATCACTTCCAGGAGGACTTCTGCTACTCCTCTATCTCTATCTACAGTAATGCTATGGGTTCTGGATAACATGTTGCATAGTCCACTACAGTTAGTACATACCAGTTGCCTTTGTCAGATACAAATGATAGTGGTCAAATGTAGTCCACAGCTACTCTGATGAATAGTTCTTCTAAGTGAGGCATCTCACTTAGGCTACCTTCCCTCTAGGTATTGTCCTTTGGCAGATGTCACACGACCTGTAGATTCTGTTCACATCTCCGATGACCCATGGCCAATTGAAGTTGCTGGTAGTTCTGTTAACCATTTTCTCTGCTCCTAGGTTTCCTCCCACAATCGACTCATGATCTAGCTTCATTACTTGAGTCCGGTATTCTGTTGGTATTATGATCTATTTAACTTCCCCAGTATAACCGCTTTGATAGATCTGGTACAGCACTCCTTTCCAGCTCCCTATTTTTTAAGACTTTTTCCCCCTTTGTCTTGTGCTTCACTTTTTCTTGAGCACTGTCCCAAAGTCTCTGCAGTGACAGGTCTTTCTTCTGAAGGCAGTTCCTGTAGACCTATAGTTGGGATGTCACCTCTCGAGACTTGCAGGAGCTTAATGTCTTGCTTGCTCATATTTTTTTTTAGCTCTTGTGCAGATGCCTCATCAGTCTCCTTTCTGTCTGTTTCCTCCAAACTTCTACTGCCTAATATACTTCCAATTACCAAGTCATAGATTAGTGCCTTCATACACATGGATTCAAGGTCTCCCAGGTAGTAGGGAGTATCCACCTTTATTTTTGCTATGGGAAACTTTCTCACTGTTCCATTAATCAGCACACACAAATATAACTTGCCCATCATCTGATCATCAGATACTATATTGGTTCTCACTGATGTACTACTGCACCCAGTGGCTCATAGGACTTTCACTTTTTTGTCCCCAACAAATCCTTCACCTACTGGCATGTTGTGATTTGTTGGCACCTCTTGATGTTTGTCAGATGCTCCAATCATCATTAGTACTGTTGACCCATTCAATAACTTAAGCTAACCATCAGTCATGCATTGTTTAATCATGGAAATAGTACTTACTTCTTGTGATGAATCTGATGGGTTGTCCCTGTTCTGTTTCTTCTAGCAGCAGCATCCATGTTGACAGTCACACTTTTGTTGTTTCTTGCCAGCACCATCTTTGTAGGTAGCTCAAGCTGCTTTATGTTGAACTTTATGTTGTTGCTTATTGGTGGCAGATTTGCATTAATTTGCAACATGTTCCATTTTATAACAAACTAGTAGTCTGTCATTATAAAAAAAAGATTGTTTAGTTTAGATATTATTGATTAATTTATTTTTGTGAGTGAATATTTTATTACTGTTTGTTTTTGTTATAATAAGAGTTAAAAGCAGATCATTGTAGGAAGTTTTGTTAATTGATGTTGAGACTATCGAACATCATCTGCAATACACTGATGTCGAGAATATAGAAGGCAGGCAGACAACTAAGTGATACAGATATAAATAATGTGGGATGAACAAAGACAATAGTACACAGATAATAACAAAAAAAAAAAAGAGTTAAGTTACAGGGCAAGGAAAAGTTTGGCATAAAGTTAACTACCATAGAAGTGATAAGCCTTACGTTTAATATGTTAGAGTTAGACTAACAAGAAATAAGAAGAATTATTCCGTCAAAGCATGGTTCTAAAGTAATTGAATCCGCTCAAGTGCAATTTGACAAAATGAACAGAGGATATTTAGAAGAATGAAGACTAAACAATTAAGGTAACTCGTGCCACAAATGTTAGTGAATCACACACAGAATACTAATGCGATAGTAATAGAGGAGATATTTCGGATTGTCAGCTGAAATTCTAAAGTAATTGAAGAGGCCTAAGTGGACTTTTCACAAGAAGAAGAAGAGAACTACATATATAGTGTTTATGATATTGCCTATAATCTCTATAGTGTGAAAAATTACTTGTACATAAGTTTAACTTGTTCCAAATGTATATATTATTTTGAAAACAAGTGAAGTGAGTGCTGTTTATTTATCACTGAATTTACTGCTAACAAGTCACAGACACCTACTGTAGAAGAATCCTAAGCCCAACAACAACAAGTATATATTTATACTATTAAAAATATAAATAAAAGCCTTTTATCTTCACAACTAGTGAAAAAGAAAATTATATATTTTAAATTCTGACACAGTCCTTACCCAGCATTGACCAGGTATTATCTGAACAGGGGGCCAATTAAACAGAAAGGATAAAACAAAATCTCATGTTTTTGATGTGTCTTGAGAATGGCATTCTGCATGGCAGATGCCATCACCGTTTCTCTGAAATTGCCACTCTTGCTCATTCTTGGCTTGATGATGAGCAGTATGTCTTTTTTGTTGGCTGTCAAGCATGTTTCTCGTTTTAGTGGAGCCTCACTCTGTCACTTTTGTTGCATACATTTTGCTGCTTGTGATTGGCAATCAGAATTATTTTATTCTTTTTTCCAACATTTTACTCCGAAGTACATAATCAGTGTCAGAAATATTTATCATACCTAACCCCTCTTCCCTTTGAAAATAAAGTGAATAAAAACCAATTTATATTTGCAGAATTTTGCAGGTTCATCTTGTCTATTCTATATAAATGTGTTTTTGTTTTTCAGTAGATATTACAGCAACTGATGGATATTTATTTTGACACCACAATGGCAGCACACCTCTCTATAAAATACACATACATTTTCTGACATCATTTGGACATAAATCAGACCAAAAACATTGTTGGAAAAATTTAGATTAGAAAATGTTCATTGACACTAAAAATCTTATATCACAAAGATTAAACCTGAGTATGCTGATTCCATATCTTTGAAGGCCTACTGTGATAGGGGTTGAAAGGTGAGAAACATACACAAACTTAGCTTTATATATATTAGATATTGCATCTCTTCTCCCTTTTGTCTGTTGATGTCCTGTTATCTTTGGTGGTATCCTGTGTCTGAGCAGCCACTCCTGGTTTCAACATTAACTGGTTATACTTGGATTTGCAAGTTATACTCCCTCCATGGACTTCCATATACTGTTCTGCCAGCTTGATCATTATGTCCACGTCTTTTGGTGCTCTCTTTTGGAAACAGTAATAAGTTGCCTGAGAATGTGATCATGAACTCTTCACATATTAGTAGATCTACAAGTCCCACAAAACTATTTTCACACTTAGCCATGTTAGTTTGTCTTCTGAAGTATCACCATAGACATGCCACAAGTTGATATACAGTTTCTCCAGTGTCAGGTTTGAATACTCCGAATTTCCAATGAAAATCTTCTTCTGTAAGTTCATAATGTTTCAATGAGGCCACTTTTAACTTGTCATAGTCCACAGCATCTTCTGATGTCATGCCTGCATACACTTGTAGGCCTTTTCCTGTGAGAAGTGGGCTGAGACAGACTGTTCAGTTGCCTTTGTCCCAGATCTGACTTTGGGCAAATCTTTCATTTCTCTCCAGAAAAGCATTCATGTCATCTTTCTGTTCCTCAAATTTGGGCAGCTTAGGTCGGCTAGCACTAACCCCTTTGTCATTCTTGGATCCTTCCTCTTTCTGTTGGGTGAGCTTGGCATTTTCAATCAGTGCTCTTATTCTCTTCTATTCCCAGTCTCTCCTCCTTCTCCTTTTTTTTCTTCTTTTGCAATTTGTATTCTTATTCTCTCTATTTCCAATCTCTCCTTTTCTTCTGTTTCACCCTTCAGTCCTTTTCTTTTAGTCTTTCTTCCTCTCTTCTCTGTGTATGCTCTTCTCTTTCTAATTCTTGTTGTTATTTAACAAACTCTAGTAGATTGCTATCTTTTAGCCCAAGTCACTCTCCTCTCTTTATCCATTTATCAAAATTAGCCGGCATTCTTATATAGCGTGATTATAATCTCTACATTATTTTTGCCACCACAACAGTTGTTTATATATAAGCCTACTTAACTGTAATTCAGGTCTTTTTTTACTGCCGTTTACCACCATATAATCCTGGCTGGTTCACCAAAAGTCAGGTTTTATATGGCCACAATTTTTTACAGTAGGTGTCTGTGACTTGTTGGCAATAAATTTCAACAATAAATAGGCAGCACAGAATCCATTTGTTTCAAATTGATATACATTCAAAACAAGTCAAATGTATGTACTGAAACCATTGGATGTTTTTGAGGGAATTTCACAATTGCTTCGGTCTTTTCTGTTTAAGAAAGAAACTAAAGAAATTTAAGTTTCTGAGTGTGGTGCATATACATGAAGAAATGGCATAAGTAAAGGACAGCTGTATTACAAAATTGGGTAAAGAACTAGGCAAAGCACAGTTAGCTGGCTAGTTAGTATTGAGTAAACATTGTTAAAAGCACATTATGAAAGTCTTGAGCAATAGAACCAAAAACAGTTTAATAAATAAACATATATGGTCACACCAACAGTTTTTGCACTGCTAACTATGATGAAGCTGAAATGGTGAAACATTAGCAGAAATAAAAAGTTTTTTTATTATTATCTGGAGAGCAAAGGTAATATATATTTCTACCTTTATTGCAAAAATGTCTAAATCCCTCTAGTATGCACTACAAATCCTGAGAAAAACAACAATGTTCTTTGTATTTGCTGATAATACCTAACTAGTTCAGTTGGTAAACTAATGTTTGCTTCGGCAATTATTTTACATTTAAAAATTAACTTTTCACTTATTTGATAATGATATTAACAGTGATATAAATATATTGCATGACTATTTCTAACTATTTATCTAACCTTATGATTTTTTATTGCATATTCCAGTCCTGCTTCACCTATCTGGGCTAAGCCATGTAGCTTTTCAGAAGCCATTTTAATAATATCATCTGTAGAAACTGATGGAACGTGGAAGAAGGAGAAGACTTCAGAAAGTGCATGCTGCAATAATAAAGTTCAGATTTTAGAAAAACAGTATTAGCCTTTGAGACTTTACTCGCCTTTCTCTAACAAATGTTAAGATAAAAGTAAGACAAAATTAGTTAATTCAAAATGGACTATACTATACGATGTAATTAAAAACAGACAAAACATACCTCATGATAAACAACTTCAACAGGTTCTACATTAACTACAAAGCCATAATCTGCTTTCACATGTAGTGGGTTGACCTCAAAGTCCACTGCAAAAACTGGATTTGGAGTTGAACCTACAAGATGCATATTACAAATAGTGAAGTGTAGTTTAGAAATGTAATTTATGATCCAAGTTATAAATGCTTTACAGTACCTTCAAGATCAAACTTTCTTGAAAAATTAACATTTTTAGAATTAAAATACATTTCAACTGATTCTTACCTCTACATGTACAAATAAATGTATTTACAGCTCTACTGCTAATCTAAGCTTAATTCTCATCACTTCACTTTCTTGTTCATCAGATCACATTCTAAGTGCCTCACTCCTTAATTCTATAGTTCTATATTTGAACATACTCTTAACAAATTTAAACCATGTCCACTTACTAGACTAACAGTCCATCTGAAACTAAAGCCATGTGTAGAGAAGGATGGAGGGCAAATACATATATTGGAAGTTATTTTAATGTGAATTCTAGAAATGTTAGTTTTGAACACATAAATGTACCTCTATTGGCTCACAGAACTAGAAAATGCACATAAAAAAACAAGATAGAATCCAAAAATAAAAATAGCCAGTATTCTTCTCATATGGGAAGAAGTAATCAACTGCATGCCCAAAGCTTAGTCCAATCCATCAAGAGGAAACTACCCAGAGGCATAAATATATGGTACATCAACAAACAAATTCTTTAAGACAGGCTCTCTTGGACAATATCAGGCCTGAGCATTGTTACACACTCAGCAGGTATCATGGTTAAAATGAACAGTGTAATGAATGTATCAATACAAAATAAAAATGGAGACCTCATTCTACTTAGCAGACATAGAAAAAATGAATTTCTATTTGAAGCAACCATAGATCTAAGGATACCCTGCATCAGTGTTGAAGCATAACTGATTAATTCTTACAAAGATATCATCACTTCCTCTCTCACGCACACAAAAATGGTAAGAAGAAGAAAAGCTGAACAACTGAAGTTATTGAGAACAGCTTTCTATGCAAGTGTAAAAACATGAATAATTCCAGAGAACTAACCCACCTAGGAGGCAGTCAGAACTTAAAAGTCACTTTGTAAATGTTGCAGGAAAAAGATCATTCCAGTGAAAAAAAAAAACTCCATGGAATAAATCATTGTTTTCTAGAGTCCAAAATACAGGGCCAGATCTTGAATGTGTGCACTACACATGGGTGGCCAATAAGACAGGGTACTTATTTGAGGTTCAGCTGCTCCCTCTGACCCCAGGCCATTAGTCTCTCTCTCTTGAACAGTTTGGGGTGGGGAAATAGCTTTAAATTTTTAGTGTAAATGATCACTGTTGTGGAGATAAGTTTTTGTGTGTGAAAAGTATTACAGATTCAGTGATCTTTTAGACTGCTTCTGCAACATCATTAACATACTTGTCGAGGTCGTCTTTCTTGGAAATAGTGTTAATTTGGTTAGGTAAAAGTGTTTCAAGAACTACATAAAGTTTTCCATTATGTTTTCGTGTAGTTGTATACTGGTGGGAGGTTAATGCATGTATCCTCTTTACTGATTTGTATAGTTATGGAGATAGAAAAGTGGTCGCTATCTGTGTCGAGGTGAACCATGAAGTTCCAGAAAAAAAGGAAAGAAAGGGGGTAGGGATTATAGCAAAGTTGAATGTGTCAAAATTATCTGTGGCTGCATGATAATGTGTCGGAGTGTTATTGTTAATGATGTCTATGTTATTGTGTCCGAGTAATGTGTGAAGGCCAAAGCCTCTGCCAATGGTCCTGTAATTGCGAACCTGAATATGCACACAGGCAGCCAAGAGGCATGATCTAGCCCTGCAAAAATAATTTTGAGTCAGATAATGATGTAAGTCAAAAAATGTGTGAGAAGGTAAAAAAAAATTAGTAAAACTTATGATACCCTTATTTCATAGTCTAAGTTTTGAAAGTACAGAAAGAAGAATCTGGAGAAGCATGCAGAAAGTTTTTTGAAAACAAAATCCAAAAGAAATCAAGCACATAGGCCAAGATATGCACCTGATGTAAACAGGAAAAGGAAGTAAATCATAAAGGACAAAAGAACAAAAAAGAAGGCCGTTAGGGGGTGAACAAAAGAAGGAAAGATGAGAATACTCAAATCAAAACAAGGATCCCTAACAAGAAAAATGGATAGATAGATTAGCAAAATGACATATATGGAAGATGTTAGTCAAAATTCACAAAATTAAATTGGATCAAATTTGGATAGGAAATGGAAAGTAAATATGAAAGCAGCTATATAGACACTTACCATGGAGATGGAAAACCTGTGTTCATAATGCCTGGCACATAGAAAGACCAAAGATGTATGAAAACTCGACAGTCTAGAAACACAGAATCATTGTATGAATAGCATCTTCATAGTTGATTTATGAAACTGTGGTGGAAACATCAAATTGATTGCAAATAACCCAACCCAAAAGTAAAGAAACAAGTTTCAAATAAGTTCTGTGGACTGCCCACAGATTCAGAAAATTCATATGAGAATTAGGCCAAATATCAAACATTCTGTACCACTCCCAACTATAAAATATGCACTAGTGAAAACAAATGGAGATTCACTCTAGGGGGCCAAATTAAATTCTAAATGCTGTATTGGGAAAACTTAGTCACCACTTTGTTTCATGTAAAAAAAATATCTAAGCTGACAGGCTATTCTGAATATTGATCCATTTAAAAATAAACACTTTCAAGAGAAGCCAACATTTCACACACCTCCAAAGAAAATGCAGAACTTCTTAAGTTGTCAGAGGAGAAGGAAAAAGAGTTTACCCTTTTTGATATTCCAAACAAACCAAATGATTGGGAGGAATGTTCATAAAACTGTAAAACTTTCAATATATAAGAAAGTTAGTTGTAATAAGATGAAATTTTAAAGGATTTCCAAATTAACATAAAAATAAATCTAGAAAAAAAACTCATCTAGAAAAGAAATTCTTAAAGGGCGTACTATAGAAAGAGAAAAAAAAGCACCTTAAATGGAGAAGAGGAAATATCTGGAAAAAAAAAGCCAGACAGTCAACTGAAGGATCTTGAAAAAATCAAAATTTTCAAGAAAACTGAATATCCTCCCCCAGACTTTTAGAATCATCAACAGAACAGACTTTCAAGGAAGTTAGACGAAAAACCCATATAGTCAACCTTACAAGAGGCATAATGAGCTTCTTGAGATCTCTGAAAGGTAAATAATCTGAAAATTGAAAAAACAAAAGAATCACAATGAAAGAATAAAATGATCTGGAAAAAAATCACACAAAAAGACATCTTCAAGTCAACAGCTAAAGCATCATAACATGTAAAAACGTGTGATACCAGAAGATTCAACTTGTAACTCCAAAGTGAAGAATCATACAAAAACTAAACTCTTCAAGAAAGGGACAATCCTCAACTCAATAACAGAACACTTGCAAGCAAGATAAATCCTCCCTGCCCACCATGTCCTAAAATCATCAAAAACAAGTGAATAAAACAACCAAGACAACAAATAAATGAAACTACAGAAGGAAATAATAGGGTACTTGTTGTTGTTTTTTAATTTGGTTGGTGTAGAAAGAACATAGATGTCTGGGGACTTCATAGTCTTTTGAAATTTACAGTAATGGGAATGAGAAAAAAAAGTGCATCTCTAGCACACCACAAGCATGAACATAAGATTCAGAAGTTTCTCTAACATAATAGTCACCATAAGATAGAATATTCAGCTAAAAGAACATCTACCTAGAATGCCAATCCTCAGATGGGAAAAAAACAAAAGAGAAGAAAGAGAAGGCAAACAATAAAATGTAAAAAAAGTCTGATCAACAAGAAACTGAATGTCCACTAAGAGAATCAACTGTAAAGTAGCAGGTGTAGTTAGCTAAAAAATAGGAATGCTAGGGAAAAAAGGCAAAAGCAATAGCAGAAAAAGTTATTTCTATAAATAGAAATAAGATAATGTTTCAAACATTCATTATTCACTGAAAAAAATATGATTAACCATTTACATATTGTCTTGTTAAACAGATTTAAGCTTCTTGATGTCTAACATGGGTCACTTATATTACTCAAGTATGGAACTTTATAGCATTCTTACTAAGTGAAATATTATCAGCTGTCATGATGGGAACCAAGTCATTTTCTATTGATGCCCCTTCCACAAGAAAACTTTCTGTTCGAGCTGAAATTTTTAATGCTTTAGCCACTGGTCTAGTCTCAACACTTATCAAACACTGAGTTAAAGTTGCAACAAGAATTTCCTTCTCAAAGTTTATCAAGGACAATGTACAATTGGCTAATGTAAAGTTCAGCTTATGGGCTATGTACTGCACTGAGGCCTCTGGTATCCCTTTGTCTTCTTTATAACCTATAGCTTCATACAACCTCTCCTTTTCTTCTGTTGTTAATTTAGACCACAGTGTTTTCTCTTTCTCAATTGGTACTTCTACCTGCTCTCTTTCACCACTATCAGTTGACAACCATGACCACCAATATGTATCTTTTGTTTTCCTCTTAATACATGAAGGGTTTTCTTTGGCAAACTGGAATATATTTTAAGTACAATTTGAGTGAAATTTGACCAATAATTATTCAAAATATTCCCTTCTACTATAATATATATATATAAATATGACAAAATAATTAATTAACTCTACCACTCAGGTTGCATCAATTTGATGAACATGTAGTATAGTCTATTTTACTGCACTGTAAAAAAAACAACAAAAAACTATTGGATGAAATAGTTTGAAACTTCAGAAAAACTTGTTAAAGATTATATAGCTTCTGTAACTAAAATATTTTAATATGATAATTGCATGGTTTCACATTATTTCAAAGTTCAAAAAGATTTCATTGTGATACATTTTTAAGAAACAATTAAAAATGGTTATCTTTTTTTAATTACAGATTTTTTTATGTCTTCCTTTGTCTTCATATGTCTTGTAAAGCAATGTTTCTCTCATGCCTTTTTTTCATATCTTGTCTATCTATCATGCAAAGTAATTTTCATTTTAAGATTAAAAATACTTTTATGCATCAGAAACTTTTGAAATTTCACATGCGAAATCTTTATAATGTCCGGATAGTTATCAAACATTTCTTAAGAAAAACTTTATATTTTATCTGTTATTTTCGGTAATTAATCTCTGTAAGGGAAGATTTGACCAATCTTGCAACCACCATAAAAAATTAGGAAATAAATATAAATTAGGTCTCTTTCATTCTAGAATGAACACAAATTACAACACGAAAATACAAATGTTTAGACTAAATAGCTTAGATCTCATAACATCATATATTTATAAATATATATAGTTTTTTTTACTACATTGACCTTTCAGCCATGCCTGGCTAATGATATAAAAGTTACAACGACGTGGTTCATGTGCACTATTGTTGCCATATCAAATACAATATAGGTGACTTTTGACTATACAAAGTGACAATGCTTGGCTGTGTTTTAGTGGACTAGTATTTTATAAAATACAGCCACATTTTCAATCGTTATACATTATATATGCATAGCCATTATTACTAGTTACAAATAAGATCTTAAACTTATTTTTCTTACAACACAGAACAGTAAATAAAGAAGTAAAGCAAACAATTATCTCTTCTAGTTATGACCTTTGTACTCGTTTGCTAAGCCTTATAAAATTTTGCATTTGGGGGATGTGAAACAAAATAATTTTTTTTAGGTTTTATATATACAGCTGAAGTGACCAAAAAATCATAAATTACTATATCAATACCACAGATCAAGCTTAGTAACTAAGTTGTATTTGGGTCTAAAAAATATGAAATTTCAAGCAGACTAAAGGCTCAACTTACCTGTTTGAAATTTTGTATTGAAAGAACGAGATGATGTTGTAATACTTAAAAATGGCTGAGAAAGCCACTAGTGGGATGTTCTGAACTTTTGATTGGTTATTCACATGTCATAGACAGAAGTAAGTGTATATAATGGTGCATTTCCAAAAATGGAAAGAAGTGGGCAGGGCCACTGTGTTTGATTCAGTACATGAGGGATATCTCAGCAAATAGAAAAGATGGGAGGTTCTTATTTTATATCCTAGCTTTTTAATATTGGTAATTTGAGTTCCTAATTCATACGAAACTACAGACTTGGTATATATAGAATTTGAACCAGTGCTGCATTCAACATACCACATATCACACAAAAATTGATGTTTAGGTGTCTTTTTTAATATTTACTTTTAAATTATGAAATTAAGTAATGTATAATACTAAAATTTGAATTATAATCTACAGTTTAATACCAAACTTATTGACATAAATTCATAAAATAGTAGTTTAATAAAATGATGTCAACAAATGCGATAACATGGCCTTTGACCTGTGACCCTTGTGGAGAGGGTTAACCGGATTCCTGTAGACTCCAGCTGTGTTAATTTTAGAAAACCTGTAAAAAGCTTTTATGTAATTAATAGCCAAACCAAACAAAATCACTGACACTTAATGATTCTTATTGATACTAAATAGTAGTTTAATGCCAACTGACTACTTTCTATTAAATTTTGAAAACATTGGCAGTGGTAAGACCCCCATACCATCTAGATCTACTCCTATTTATGCAACATTAAATAAAAGTTATTTTCTGAAGAAAATGTGTGGGGAGTCTCCCCGGAACACTCCCTTTGATCTGCACCTGCTTACATAATATCAAATACAGTTATTAATTTGTAGAATGCATGAGGGAACAACCTCCTAGACTCAAGCCTGCTTATTCAACATTAAAGAATACAGGTAATTGATGACATTGATTAAATTGCACAGCTCATTCTCCTAAAATACTTATGGCACCAAGATGACCAAATGTCGCTACTTTTTAAGTACTTTCTGTGACTTCTTCACATCTTCACAAAATCAATATTTGAAATCAAAATAAAGATTAAAAGATATATATAAATTTAGGATTCAGATATTACAAACTGTGAAGCATACCTCAATTTTAGCATGCTCTCGAGCCATCAAAATGTTAAACACATCAAAGTGGTCTTCCAATTTTTTTAAATGAAGTCCTAGTTCTGTGTCTTCAGGATAACAGAGTCTTTTTCTGTACTGTTCTTTGTATTCTTTGTACTTCTTTCTAGAAGATGAAACTAGATACTTAATGGAAAAAAATTTTTAAAAAGAAAATTTCTAGAATGACTTACAGTTTCTTAATAAATGGCATAATAAAAAATACAAGACATTTGAACATATTTTTAATGAAGCCAATCTAGTTAAAGATAAGCTATATTAGAATATCATACACAAGGATAGAGATATTTAATAAATGTCTAGGACATGAATGAAGAGGGTAACCATGAAAAACTTCCCCAAATTTTAGTCTTGATAGCTTAGAATGGAATTAAGATGAAGAGCTTTACCACATAAAAAAAAGGCTGAATGGCATGAAAATTGTCACAAGTTAAACTACAAGTTAAGAATGATAACAGATTTATCACAGCTCCAAAACAAAACTATGGTGGAAGGGGGGGGGTATAATAATTAATGTTATGAAACTTAAAAAGTATATTAGAATACCAATGAGTCCTATATTAAGGTAACTAAGATACATAAACAGTGGCACATGTACTTATTAATCTTATCTACAAAATCTTAAAACATCACTTTTAAATACATGAAAAAAATCTATTCTCAAACAAAGTTAACATTTGTCTAATCTTCTCCACACACAGTTTAGCTATCATTCTCGTGTATCTGCCTGAGAGATTTGCATGTCACTAGCTTTGACACAACTCCCACCTGATTTACATGAATTAATGTGAATTGCACTGGTGTACAATGATGTCATCATTCACCAAAAACTCTCCACCTCTATGCACAATAACTCCCCCCCCCCTACATACTTCTCTCATGGTAACTTCATTCCTTAACAAGACAAAATAAAATGTGCACCAGAAGTGAGGAAAATGGATGGGAATGTGAGTGCAAATGAGTATCTATCGAATATACATTTTCAACTTACAAAAATATAAACTTCCACAAGGATAACTTATTCAGCTTCACACACAGTTTTGCTAGAATCCTACACTGATTTGATGGAGGGCCCACTGTAAATTTTACCTAGATGATCTCCCTTCTGAAGGCTCAGCATGGCCAGGTGGTTAAGAACCTCGACTCGCAATCTGAGGGTTGCAGATTCGAATCCCCATTCCACCAAACATGTTCGCCCTTTCAGCCATAGGGGCATTACAATGTAATGGTCAATCCCACTATTCATTGCTAAGATAGTAGCCCAGAAGTTGGTGGTGGGTGGTGATGGCTAGCTACCTTCCCTCTAGTCTTACACTGTTAAATTAGGGATGACTAGTGCAGATAGCCCTCGTGTATCTTTGCACAATATTCAAAACAAACAAATCCCCTTCAGCAATCACTTAAAGGGAAGCTCATAGAGTGTGACACCCAATAGCAGGCGCTGCATAGGGGCACACCAGAGGGAGAGTACATTTTGTCTCAACCAAATTGTACTCTTTGACCGAAATGTAAGGGTGGAAGAGACAAATGAGGTCCATGTGTTGCAGAGATGGGAAGAATAAAAACATGACCATCTGAGCACATGCAAACAAACACTTTGCCAGCCAGACCATACACTGTGTTCTCACCTCAACTCTACAGAACAGACTCCAGCTGCAGAAGGCCTTGGATATATTATTTATGCAGTATGATTTCATATAATGTATGCTCAACTCAACTCTATAGAACAGATTCCAGCTGCAGGATGAGAAGGGCACTTTAGATATGCTGTTGTGTTTTGTATAGTTTGTGCTCACCTCAACTCTCCTGAACAGACTCTGGCTGCAGGAGGTGAGGACAATAGTTTTGGATCATGTTCACTGTACATTGTGTGTTCACCTAGACTAAAATGAACAGGCTCAAGCTGCAGGAAATGGGCACAAGTGGTATGAGTTATGGTTTAAAGGGGTGACCTGTACTACACTGACAGTGTTACCACCAATCCACTTCTCATTGTATTGTGCTAAGCCCAACAGTGAGGATTCTCCATGGACCACCACACCAGCAGCTATGAAATGGTAAGTGGTAAGGGTCTCATGCTTCACTCAACAGAGGAGAGAATGTGTTTGGGGTACCAGAGAAATGCTCAAATTGCCACCAGACCTCCAGCCTGAAAGAGTTTGACTTGAAACAGTGTAATGGGTAACTGCCAAACCCAATTTTTAAAAGCCAGCAAGCAAGAGCCAAAGAAATGGACAGAATACTTTGCTGGTGCTTGCTTTTTGCATGACAGTCCATAAAATGTGTATGATCTGGATCAGACAATTGAATAAATATGTATACCCCAAGAATACTTCAAATGGTCTTGTGGAACACTCCATCTAGCAGTGGAAATTTGTAGAGGTAAGGCAAATGGTATGGGTGCTATCTGTTATCCTGGTTCAATGTGGGTTTTGGGTAAGTATACCGTGGGAGACAACACCAACCATCTGGTGAGATTCTATGAATTAAAAAGGGGTTCTGAAAGAGAAATAAACTGTATTCTTCTCAAGGATGGTGGGGGTGACTGAAGAATGGTGACCAGTGAAAACCAAAAATCATCAGGAGATAAAACAGCAAGAAGGTGTAGAGAAGGAGATGAACATGTAGAGTTATCCACATGCCCATCTAGAAGATCTTATCCTAGGGCAGGCAAAAAATAGAAGTAAGAGAATGTGAAAGATAAAAACTCTAATGTGAAGAAATGCATCCACATCCCAAGATGAACATACTAATTGCAGGAATCAACAGATTCATTCAGTAAGGATAGAAGGAGAGGGGTCCTTGGAAAAAGAGGGATCCCAAGGTAGAGAGAAAAGAAGGCGGGGACTTCAAAAGGGAGAGGAGATAGGAGAGAAATACAGTTACCCACCCAAACAGTTGAAGTCTTAGGAAGGAAAAATCAGTCTGGAAAGAAAAATGTATAAATGCAGAGAAAGAGGGTGTCAGAAGCATCCATACTATAAATATCTGAATGATGGTAACTGTAGGTGAGAATGAGGAAGAAACAAGTAAAGAGATAAAGATGATATAAAAATCAAGTCAATGGCTCAAACAGAGCACGTGTAAGATCATAAAAAAACACTAAGGTCTTTATCACACATGGGAGTTGGGCAAAGAGGAAGGAGGAGAACAAAAGAGTAGAACAGAGTGGAGAGAACTGGAGAAGAAAAACCTTGTGGTACTGGGAAAGGCAAAATGTGTGGACGAGTCCTCCCAAAAACTAGTAAAAGCAGAGACAAACAAACCACGAACAAACTGTCATATATAAAAAAAAGGAAAAGATGGTTTGCAGTATAACATCCAGGAGGAAAGTTGGTTGGTAGTTTGTTTGGTGCTTTATGGTGCAAAGCAGCGAGGCTATCTGCGCCAAACAACCAGTAAAAACAATGAAAGTAAATTAAAGTAAAATGTAAAAATACAGCGAGTTAAAACCAATACATGTTGATAAAAGATTTATATAAAATTAAAAAGACCTATAGCGTGCAAAAAATTAAAAATACAATCTAATCGGACAGTGACACCATTACCAATGAAACTGTCCGGCGTCAGGGGTAAACTTTTAGAAAAAATGTGTCTAAAATGGTGCCACCGCTCACAGTTGTAACGACGGCACGACAGCAAAATGTGGGTTATTGTGACTTGAGTGTCACAATGGCTACACATCGGTGGGTCAATACCTGATAAAAGGAAACGATGGGTTAAAAAATTATGACCAATGCGTAGCCTTGCCAGGACTACTTCCTCCATCTGATCCTTATGGAAGCAAGACAGCCAAAAAACCAACAGAAGGTTTGATCTGGAAAAGCTTGTTATGGCGTTGCTCACTCCAAGTCTACTGCCAACTGGCGTGAAGCCGCGCCTTGAAGACAGAACAGTAGTCCATGTATGGGACAGACACGGCCGTGATGGCACCAGAGCAGACGGACTTAGCTGCGGTGTTAGCGAGCTCGTTCCCGTGAATACCGACGTGGCCAGGATCCAGAAAAACTGGATGGAAATAGAAGATTGAGAAAAGTGGGCCAATCAGTGTTGAATATCGACGAGAACAGGGTGAGAACTAACGTTAAGCAATTCCAGGGCCAGTAGAGAGCTAAGAGAATCAGTGTAAATAGTACAATTACTGTACTGCATAGCTTCTACATGATCCAGGGCAAGAGAAATAGCATACAATTCGGCAGTGAACACAGAAACTGTAGAGGGGATCCTGTGAACAACTACCAAGCCACAGCAAACCATGGCAGAACCTACAGAGTCACCTGATTTCGAACCATCCGTGTAAATGGGAAGAGAGGAATGGTTCAAAAGATGTTCAGCAAAAAGAAGACGGTACTTCCAATCGGGAGTATCCACCTTCCCCAGATGACTCAAGGAAAGGTCACAGGATGGAATGGTAATAAGCCACGGTGGAATGGGCTGATTATTGGGGACAGCAATGTCATCCAATGCCAGACCCAATTCAGCCAGTAGTGCCCGGATACGAAGGTCAAATGGAGGAATAGCAGAATAGCATGCAAACGGTTTTAGAAAAAGAGAATTT